CAATAATGGTAGACAAACAGGCTTTAAACATTCAAAAAACTATTGAAAACTATAGTTACATAGACCTGAAACTAAAACAGCCATCGATCGAATCTGACTACCACATAAATAAATGTTAACGCAAGTAAAATTGTCAAATTAAGTTCATAAATTTGTATGTTCTACTTTTATTATTATTTTTTGCTATAATTATTCTTTCATTCGTGTCATCACCGTTAGTGCCATCATAATATCCAAACATTCCACACAATTTTTATGATGAATTTCGTAACAATTAAAGATTACCTAATTAATGTTCAATTAAGATCTTCTAAAAAAAATTTACTTTTAACTTTAGACTCCGTCAAATATTTCCAAATTATGAAAGAATAAATTATGCTAAAGTATATCTAAAGGTTTAAAGTACAATTCTCTCCAACGCTGCTAAAATATAAAAAATAAAAATTGATCTCATGGACATCATGTCAATTGGAATATGACAAGTGTAAATGTGTAATAGTAACTTTTGGTTTTTGTGTTTTCCAATTGCATCATCTAAAAACTCAATGCTTTAGCTAGAAAGAGAAGAAGAATTAATTTGTTTATATTAAAAATTTAAACTCGTCCAATGATCTCTCCAACTTAAACAATATCATGAAAAACCTCTTTAAACATAAACCCTAGACAATATTATTGAGAAAATGAAGCTTGCATATATTTTTCACCATCGATTGCAGTTTTTAAGAAAAATTACATAGATGTTCATTTATGAAAAACAAGTCCAACTAATTATCATAAAAGTTTACGTTTTATTACATAGATCCATATTTATTAGCTTCTAAGAGCTCCATTTTATTATCAAGTTCATCACATAGATGAATACAAGAGTAACACAACTTCTTAAGCAAAGGGCCTTTTGTTGTAACAATCCAAATTAGGGCCATAGCCAACTCCAAGTAAGTCACATTATCTCTTGTAGAAACCAATTCTATCTTCCACTTGTGGGTTCTTTTATTTTAAGATTTTTCTTATGGTCTTTGGCATAACTATCAATCCTCCAATGCTGTAGAACAAAATGGCCATAACTCATAAGNNNNTTTTTATTTTTGGTAACCGTGGATGTTCGGGCCAGCTTGCGCGCACCTCGACTAATCCCTCAGGGCCCTGAAGTTTACGGCCGGATACTCACCTCAGTGGCCATGAAGGGACTCGAACTGGTGACCATTGGAGAGCAAACATAAGGTTTGACCAATTGAGCAACCCCTCGAGATTAACTCATAAGCCATCTTAGTACATGTAAAAAGGTGTTTCGCATATTTGCCAGCCTCCTCACACAAGAAACACCTATAATATTATCCCTGCTTTTTCGAGATCTTCCCAAGTATATCCTCATGAGAGTCATGACTATCCTCCCAAGAGAAGAAAGGAACTTCTCTTGGTCCTTGTCTTCCAAATTGCTTCTCAAGGAAAAGAGGGAATAAGGAGAAGCAGAAGTCATGATGCAGCAATAATTACTAATAAAAGTGTATTCTTGGTTACTTTTATGAGCATATTCAGCCAGTGATATAAGGAAGAACTAGCATTACTTTATGATAAACTCCCTCCTCCAGCCCCCACCATGAGAACAATAACTACTCTAATAATAACAAGGAAACTCATATGCTTACATCAAATTCCAAATACACGAGGTAATAGTCAGTGGTGCATATCCTACCAATCTTCTCTGTTTCCAATTTTGCATTAATATTAAGCAATATTAGTAGTTTTTTGGTTTTTGCTGTAGAGGTGAGGCAGGGCAGTTATAATATGTTGGGAATTTATCAAATAAATAATAATAATAATAATAATAATAATAATAACTATTATTATTATTAATAAAAACAATAATAATAACAACAGCAGCAGCAAGACCAAAGGCAATGGTCAACGGCATCCATAGGGCCACTAAACCAACATTTCCACTAAAAACAAAATGCGAACTGATTTTAGACAGCAATGACGGCAGATGAACTCTCTTGCATACCAGACTGCTAATGTTGAATAGAAAAGAACATGTCCCTGATAGTATCATTGGAAAAATGATGTTAAAAGATGACTAATCCAACACTTGTAACTGCATTCTCAGAATATCATAACAATTATTTTTGCTGTAAAAAAAGCAAGCTGACAAAATTCTCCTAGCGCTTCTCAATTAACCAGTTCGTTCCATGCTTCACATGATCAAAACATGTCGACAAAATTAGAAATGTGTGCGTATAACTTCAGGAAAAGAGAGATCCATCCGTCAGTTAGTCATAATCCCGCAATATGTTAGGAGGAGCATCAGTAAAAAAGATATAAGAGATGAAGCCCTTGTTTGAGCCTCATTTTTTTCATCAAAATGCATTCTTCTACAGTGATTTGATCCATTTCAACCACACATTCTTCAATAAAATAATATTACACGCAAACCCATAACTTTTCCTTATCTTTTAATTACACATTCTCCTTCATAAAACTATTGCAAAATGCATTTATTTGAAAAAAAAAATGGGGCTCAAACCACCACGAAATATTTTCACAGTGAAAGACCATTATGTACCTTCGCTCTCCAGACAACATGCTTGAAGTCATTGCCCGAATGTAGCTCCAATGTCATCCAAGCACCACTTTACGCATCCTGAACAATTAAAGAATGATTTTGATTAAAATGCTTAAATTTTACCTGACACTGCATCATAAGAAATGCAGGTGGCATAAAGAGAAAATTATTATTCACGAGTCTTTTAAAAACAGCAATCAAGAAAATACAGATACACCATCAAAGCATCAAAGAAAAATCACAAAATCAAATAAAATCTAATGTCCGAAAGCTAAGAAAAGGACTAATCAATACCTCATACACAAATACTACATGATAGAGCAAGAGAATTCTAACTAATTTACCCAACAATGCTCTCTACGTATATTTTATCCTCTCAAATTAGATATCGCAACAGCTAGTTACATCAGTTCTCCCTGAAAATTTTTAAAAATGCCCAATTGGGTACCAAGGCATTTTACATATGCAAGGCAAGGCATAAGCCTTGAGAACTTTCAAGGCGTAAGTCTAAAGACAAAACCAATAAAAGAACTTAAAAGAGTATAAAAATACGCTCATAATGAACCATAAACCATCTTAAAAATCTACAATAAAACAAGTTAGCAAAATGAAAATTCTAACTCTAAACAAACCTGAAATAGATCAATAAAGTATAAAGATAATAAGTTCTCAAATTACTGATATGTAATAAATGGTAATGTATCGTTAGAACTTAGAAATAAAAATAATCCAAAATTCTCCTATATCATCTCTACTAATAGAATATTTAAGGGAATAGTCAACACATTTGATTCTCCTATCATCATGGCACTG